CTGGCCCGCCCCTCCCAGTCTCGCCGCGCCCCGTGCGCCCAGTCCGCCCCTCTACCGCTCTGCCCGCCAGCTCAAGAAAGGGACTCGGGGATCTCTCCAATGCAGGGCCTGGAGCCCATACTAAGGCGCGGATCAGCTCTGCGTCTCCCTCAGCCTACTGGCTCCTTACCTTGCGTTTAGAGCTAGCTGGACGCATCTTTCACACCTTTCCCGGCGCCCCCCAGAGGCGTTTCCTGGTCCTTCAAGGTAGCACCGTCTGAGTGTCCGGGCGCAGAAAAACCAAGATACTTGGCGTCTCTAACGGAGGCTCTAACCGCATTGCATCACCTCCAGGTGGAAGCTGTAAACGCCTCCCGTAACGCGGAAGGCCCTCCAGTCTTCCTTGCCTGGAAGCACCATTTGCATGTTTAAGGAGAACTTGCTGGAGCAGTGTGCTCCGTGAACAAGTGGAACTATACAGTAAGGTCTAGGCTTGAGGGGGACATTCAGAGGCTGCTCCCGGTTCCCGGTACGGTCATGTCTGTGGCTACCCACTTCGCCTTGGCTTCTCACAACCTTCTTAGCGGGGGGACTCTTAATTCTAGTGGGAGTTCCGTGCCCAGACCTAAGTCACAAGCGCTTTTCCACGTCCTACCTCCATAAAGAGAAACCTAGTCATGCAGTTTCTGGCATTATCCAGCATCCAGATGTAGTCAAGAGGAGATAAGAGCCACGCTTCACAGTCAAGAAATCCAAGATCACAATGCAAATGAACTTTTTTCATACTCAGACGCTGATGAGGATGGTCCATTGTGGGCAAGGCTTGCCCCCAGTTTGTCCTTGGGAGCACAGGCCTGAGAAGATCATTCCTTTGCTTCAAGACCTTGGATGGCTCCTCACTGCCTCCTGACTAAAGTACTTTTATTCATTCACTCCTGCTGTCGATAAATATTTGACTACCCACTGTGTTACAGGTGTTCAACACAGGGTCTTCTGTGCCCTGATAAGGGAAAACATGAAGTGCCAGAGGATCACTGGAGTAGCATCCTACTCAGACGAGGAATGCTTCCTGGGGGAAGTGGCATAGGCAAGACTGAGAGCACCATTTGAGTCAGCCAAAGAAAAAATAAATAGAGGGGAGGAGGCAGGCAGCATTCCAGGCAGAAAGAACCAGGTGTGTCAAGTCAAGGAATCAAAAGAGCATGGCAGTAACCAGGGCTACAAGGAGTCTAAGTGGGAGGGGTGTCTAAGAAGGATGTTAGATGGGTGAGCAGGAGCCGAATCTGGAGGGGTCTTTAACTCCGTGTGTCGGTATTTGGACCTATCCTTAGGGCAATGAGAAGCCATAGAGTGTGGATTCTGAGGTCAGACTGCTTGAGTAAAAATCTCACCCTGTCACGTACTACATCTCCAACATTAGGAAAAGTATTTCATCTCTCTGAGCTTCACCTGTGAAAAGATGATGATAAAAATAACTGCCTATTAGGACTGTTATGAGGATTAAATATTTGGACCCGGTAAGTGCGCAACGGAAGTTTTATCGAAGGGTTAGAAATCAGGGGGATGTATTAGTTTTCTATTGCTGTGTAACAACTGAAGAACTCCTACTCATTCTTCAGAAGTTCAGCTCAAACATCATGTGCTCTGGGAATTCTTTATTTCCTTCTCGAGGAACAACTGGCTCCTTGCTCTTCTTTTGCCTCTCTTGATGCACAGGTTACTTTGATGCATTTTTTCTTTCTCGTGTCTGCTTAAGACATTTTTTGAAAGAGCAAATGGACTATCATATTTATATTTTGGTCCCCAGTGCTTAGTGCCTGGCACATAGTAGGCCTTTGATCTTAATACTGTGAGGAACACTAAGATGAATAAAATCTAAGATATTGTGCTACCCTCAAGATTATTATCATTTCTTTTTAGTAGCAGGCAGTTACATGAAATCCTTGTTGTTGGAATGTTATATATGATATTCCAGCTGGGGCAATTAAAGGGTAGAGTGATCAAGGAGTCCTGGGAAGGTTGAAGAAGGCAAGGCTTTAGTAAGTGGTGAGAAAGGGTTGAGAGTATCCTTTGTGGGATCAATGACATGAGTTAAAATGTTAAGGTGGGTATGCACATGGTCATGCACCAGGGCTTTAGAGTGCAGGTTCTGGGGTCACCCTCCCTAGATTTGAATACTAGTTATAAATTTTCTAAGCTTCAATTTCCTCGCTGGAAAAAAAGAATGCTGGAACCTTCCTTGTAGAAATGTCATGAACATGAAATGAAATAATGTAAAAAATTTAGCATGGTGTCTGGCATATAACAAATGCTCAATAAAACATAGCTAGGTTTATCCACAGATTTTGATTTCCTATCCAAGCTGTGTCTTGGGCTAGGTATTAAGGATAGAGCACTGAATTAGACAGGCATGATCCCTGTCCTTACAGAGCTCACAGTCAGGACTAGTTTGGTATTTGATTAGAAATGTATTTGTTAGATGAGGTTAGGCTGTAGTTACAAACAGAGCCAAACACATGCAATGGCTCAAATGTAACAAAGGTTTATTGTTCTCTGACATAACAGTCAAAAGCAGGTATCCTTGTTAGTAGGTGGCTTTATTCCAGGCAATGATGCAGAGATCCTGGTTCCTTCCATCTCGTGGCTCCAAAGTCCCCTAGACCTCATCATCTACATCCAGCCAGAGGAAAAGGAGAGGAGGAGGGGGCATATCTTCTTCAAGGCCTTGGCCTGGAGAACACTGCTCTGCTCACATCCCACTGGCTAGAAGCCAGCTGCACGGCCGCTCGTAATGGCAAGGGAGGCTGGGAAATGTAGTGAGTGTCTCAGAAGAAGAGGATGTGGATTTTTATGAATAGCTAACTACCTGCCAGAAGAATCTTTATAAGAAATGGGAGATAAGGCATAGAGAGAATTTCCGGAAGTCTACATATTGCAACGGAGGTCCACAGGCCAATTCTGTCTTAGATGGAGCACACCCTTTCCAGTGGCATGAACCCAACATCATCTGTGTCTCTTATATGACCCAACTCACCTACTTTCACAACTCACTTGACCACCACAGACATCTGAGTTTGTGACTCCTGCTTCTACACCTCCTCCCAGGATTATCTCATTCACTGCCAGGGATTTAATACTATTGATCTGCCATGACTCCCAAATCTAGGTGTCCCTTCCAGATCTCCTGACCTCCAAATATGCATATTCAACTGCTTGCTGCATAGCTCCACTTAGATGTCCCCAAAACACCCCAAACACTCGTCAAAAAGGTACTTTGAACTTATCATCTTTCTTCCCAACCCTTTTTTGCCTCCTGAACCTCTGTCTCAGAGAATGGCCAAATAAGATGTGAAACCTGAGGATCACTCTGCATCACTCACCATCTACCTCCTTTCCCCACTGTGTAATGAAGTTCTAGGAGGGCAGCAGTTTTTGTCTGTTTTGTTTTCTGCTTTCTCTCCAGTGCCTAGGATGTCGACTAGCACACAGCAGGCATTCAGTGTTTGTGGAATGAATGAATGAATGACCTTCGCTTAAGCCCTCATTATTTCTTACCTGGATCCCTCACTTTTGTCCACACTAGTTTCCTTGTCTCTGGTCTTGCCTTTCTCCAGAGCATCCTCCCTACTGACAAATGTTTGATGACTCTCCATTATCTTCAGAATCAAGTCCAGCCTCCTTAGCAAGAGCCTGTATACCCACCCCAGGATCTGATGTCTGCTTCACTCTCAGCCTGTACACTCCAGCCACCCCCTCATTCATACGCTTCCTCTGACCCCCTGGCTAATTCCTACCCACCCTTTAAGTTTCAGCTTAACTGTCATCTCTTCCTAAAAGTCTTCACTCACAACATCCTCTCCAGAAAATAATCCAAACAGAACTGTGCTTTAGAAAGGTTAATCTACATCAGTAGGTGGGAACAACTGAAGTTATGATATGCTTTTGTTAAGAAAAACAACGGGCTGCAGGGGAGGGTGAAGGGGAGACTTAAAAATTCAGGCTGCTGTCACTTAAATACAAACCAAGAAACATGCCTCCTAGCACATTGTGGACAGTCTTAATAGTCTTTCTAGTCTTCATTCTCAGGGCTGCACTGTTCAATACAGTAGCCACTAGACGTATGTGGTTGTTGAGCACTTGAAATGTGGTTAGCTGAACTGAGATGTGCTGTGAGTATAAAATATACACTGGATGTCAAAGACTCAGCACAAAAATTATTTTTAATAACTCACTAATTATATGCTATTTTGACTACATGTTGAAATGATACTTGGGGAATATTAGATTAAATCACTGGGTTTATTTTACCTGTTTCTCTTTATGTATTTTTTAATGTAGCTACTAGAAATTTAAAAATATCTGTTCAGCTCCTATTGTATTTCCATTAGACTGTGCTGCCTGTGAAAAGGCCCAGAAACTTGGAGCAAATTGTTTGAGCCTCTCCAACTGTGG